AATGCATTGAAATCGCACATTTTCACCATTCCGGACCCGGATCTCAGTTATGCATGGACGGATTTCATTCAAATTTGGTACATACATTAAACATAATAGGACCTTGATGCACGTCATTTTTTTTTCCGGATCAAGTTCGAAATAGCCGACTGGCGGCCATTTTGTTTTAAAGAATTCAGTTCTGGATCCGTATCCGAGACATGCTTGGATTGATCGAGTTGAAACTTCACACACACACAAGGTACATCATGTCACAAATATGTATGTGCATTTGTATCATGATCTCATTAACGATAGCCAAATGGCGGCCGCTTTAAGGCCGAAAATGCATTGAAATCGCACATTTTCACCATTCCGGACCCGTATCTCAGTTATGCATGGATGGATTTTGTTCAAATTTGGTACATACATTAAACATAATAGGACCTTGATGCACGTCTTTTTTTTTTTCGGATCAAGTTCGAAATGGCCGACTGGCGGCCATTTTGTTAAAGAATTCAGTTCTGGATCCGTATCCAAGACATGTCTGGATTGATCAAGTTCAAACTTCACACACACATGGTACATCATGTCACAAATAGATATGTGCCTTTGTTTCATGATCTGCTTAACAATAGCGAAATGATGGCCATTTTAAGGCCGAAAATGCATCAAAATCACGTATTTTCACAATTCCAGAACCGGATCTCAGTCATGCATGGATGGATTTTGTTCAGATTTAGCACAATGTGTTGTACATATGCAGGTGCATTTCGGTCATGATCTGCTTTGAATGTATATGTCACTCAAATATGAACGGAACGGGGACGTGTCATTGACAATGACTTGTTTTAAATGTAAACACACACAAGAAGGCACTATTTTTGAAATAAAGTTTACACTTAAAGTTCACCGTTCTCGTTTATGATATCAGTTGTTAACTCAATGTCATTCCTTTAGTCGATCATTCCTAAACATAATTTGATTCCTAATTCCTGTGTAGTCGTTGTTTACGCCCTCAAGTTCAAATCCTTCAAACCCTCCATTGTTCAAATACACTACAAGCTTTTACAGTCTTCTATAATTACTATAAATTCCACTGTAATAAAATAAAATCTTGTAAAGTTTTCAGTTAAATTTATTACCAGTCCCATACACAGATTTTGATATTGCTTCTAGTTTTTAATCAAAAGTTTTGGCAATTTGTATGAACTTTTCATGTGGGAGGAGCAGATTATACCAAAATCATTTTGTAAATGGTGCCAAAAGTTAACAATATTGCTTAAAAGTTTAACAATGTATGTAAACATTACATCAAATATAAGCACACACTGGCATGATATTAAACATAAAAATTTGACATGGTCATATTATCAATAAAATATGCTAGTCACAAGCAGGATAAGTATCGCTTAAAATTATAAATTTAATTTAGATAAGAAGATAATTATTATTGTAAGCACAATCTTTTAATTGCACTGTGATTTAATTGAATTCGGTTTCATCATTGTAAATAGAAGATTGTTCAAAACTACACACAACAACAACAATAAGGTATTGTGACCGACTAAAAACATGATATGACATGACTATATTGATTCTGAATTTATATCATTATCAATTAGTGTTTAATATTGCTAATTATCATAATTAATCTGATCTACAGTATTGAAGTGAAATGAAAAAGCAAAAGAAATAAATTTGATTGTACTAATCTTTTGTATGGATATAAACAAATATAAACAAAGTAATCAGGTCTGTGGATCCGTAGAAACCTGTTATAAATTCATTTGACAAATAATGTTGAGGTAGATTATGTTGAGTAACTATAAATGGGTATTGCACTGATGACAATGAAAAACTGACTAAGAAACTCAGAAAGTGGTGGAATTCCATGCTTTTCCGCAATGTTTTTAAAGAAAAATCAAATTTCAATGCTTTGCAAGGCCTGGAAATGTGAATTTTGGAATTCCAGACTACATATGAACCCTGTATATTTCCAATCCAAGTACAATTTACAGAGTATCTGTATACTGAAGTATATTACCAAGAGACTGCATCTTACTTGTACTTATTTTATTAAAATGCATTAATTATTCACTGGGTTTTTGCTATTTTTGTTGATAAGTAAAATCCGCTAAATTAAATCCACTTGAGCATGTGAAATAACAATATAATTCATTGTTTCGCAGCCAGGTTCATGAACTTAAAACACAGAGTAAATATTAAAAGCATTGAAATAGTGAAATTAAATACCAGTTAAAATAAATGGTTTTACAGTAATGAGACAATAGAAGCAAATTTCAAATGTATAAAACCTTATGAGACACTGAATTAAAGTAAAAGAAAACATACAAAAAAAACACACTAAAAAACGATTTATGCCTTTTTGGCTTGAGTACTGTAAAACGTTCTTTTACAAATATCTAGCATATCAATGAACATAAATGTGCCAGCAAAAACGAGAAATGTACCAAACCAATGTGCAACTGTGAACGGGTTCTTGAAATAGAGAACTGAAAACATCAGACTGAAGAACTTGCGTAGAGTTATGACCAGTGTAACAACCAGGGATGGACACTCAGTAGTGAGGATAAAAACACCAGATATACATACATATGTGAAACTGTTGGTTAAGGTAAAACTTAAAACAGATTGAAAAATAAATTGGTACCGTAAACAGGGTGGTGATATGCTAAGAGACAAATCAGGGTATTAAAACTAGATTCTGGAAAGTGCTCCTGTGTGATTTGAATTTAAATGTATCACAGAGAATTAGAATCCAAACTTGGATTATTGATTCAACAATATTAAAGCCAGTAAGTATGTACTAACATTCAATCCACTTAATAAACTGATGTGAGCTAACTATTATGTACACACTATTACCAGAATTTCAACAACGCAAGCTCATTTAAGACAAGTCGATGAATTGACACATTTCCTTACGTTTTCATTGCAAGATTGCAAGAAATATCGAACAGTGATCAATTATTTTGATTCAAGATCTTGTTATTGACTAAAACATTTTACTCTAACTCTTCTTCTTGTCAGTTAGAAAATTGTCATTCCATATGTTAATATGTGTGTGTTCTGCATATCCAGTCAGCAGACATGGATAGCCTTGCTCAGAAACTAGCCAAATATTTCAATATCTGATGATTAAACTGAATAGATATGCAAAGGATATTGGGTAATACAGTTTCCTAGAAGATACAGCCACATCTCAGGAATTCCAAAAATAGGAGCTGTGAAAAAACAGAAAAATTATAAGTTGTGATATTTATATATAATCTTCCTGTACTCCGTGTCGATGTCACATAAGTGAGAATTAATAAGGGATTATATATTTATCAGACTAAAATACACCAGGCGTAGACGAGCTTTTAGTAGGTATTGTTAATTTTGTTATGGAATATAGAATGAGATTATTTGACTAACTTTGTGCTGAAATGAGGTCCGAAATATAGACAGGCATTGTACACTGTATTTGAACAGAGTCAAATATCACTGTTGCATATTTCAATTAATTAATCACAGAGTTTCATTTTTTAACTGTCAAACATAAAGCGAATATTAAATTTAACACAGCTGTGTGCTAACACCATCACTGATTGTGTACTGCAGAATTTTGTCTAAAAAAATGATATACAAGTAGCAAGATTTAACACTATAGTAAGCACTTGCAATAACACGACGTTACGTTTGTTTATGATCGAAAGTTGTCACAATTATTTCTGTTGGTGAAATCCAAGTTGAGTGTACAAATAATCGTACAAATCATACCAACAAAATAGCTGGTGAACAGACAGCATATGCTAAGGCATACAGTTGGCAGAATTCTCAGTATACAAAAATGCTAAATTACTATGAGGGTTTACTAGACTATGAAACAAAATATGTGATATATTGGTACACTGATTCTTGATACTTCACTCGATACATGTACAAAGACAAAACAGATTGTAAACCTACCTGTCTGTGAGAATAATACTATATGGTTATAGATATCTGGTGCTAATAATAGAAATACTGGCAGAGGAAGGGCATGCTGAAATCAAACAGTAATACCACATAAATCGTTTAGTCCGTACAGCCCGAAATACAAAATATCAATCCTCAGAAAATAACCATAAATTATAGCTGTAAACTGCATCATAGAAGTTCAAGTCTCATAATATTGTAACCAATGTTGAATTGTGTATTCATTCATATGTAAATCAAAGATGTTCAAAGCATTCAGGAAAATTCTAACCATATTATATACCAAATATTTCACTTTCCTAAAAATATGAAAAAAAAAAGAAAAGAAGAAAATCTAACACATACACAAACCATACTCAAGGGTTGGTTCTGGACATGTCAAAATACCTGATTTTAGTGTTGTTGTTTTTACAACAAAAACAGCACTCAGCTTTCTTTGATCAGAAAATAACATTATTTTATCTTTGCCATGATGGAACATCTAGATATTAAAGTGAATTGCTAAAAGCATGTACGATATTGTACATACATGTCAGAAAAGAATTTGTCAATAACAAAAATGGTCACCAGACGGCCATCTTGAGTAGAAATTACAAATCAAAGTTGATATTGCTCTGGAACCACATTCATTTAAACAGAAGTTGGCCATTTAGAATCCAATCTGGAATACAGAATGACACAATGTTCAACATATGTAAAAAATTTGAAACAAAAGCCATCCATAAACAACCAAGATGTTTTGTTTTGATGGCAATTCAATGCGCTACATAGGCCTGATTGAATACAAGCACATACAGAACATTAGGGTCACCAAAGTTCTGTTAGTGAATGAATCTCTGTCAGTGACTTCAGCCTTTCCACAATGGCACACTCTCTTATGGCATGGGTATAATTTTATGCAATACCACAATAAATGAAGCCTCCTTAAATTAAGTTGTTACTTACAGAATAAAATAAAGCCTCCTTAGGTTGTTACTCACAGAATAAATAAAGCCTCCCTTGGTTGTTACTCACAGAATAAAATGAAGCCTCCTTAGGTTGTTACTCACAGAATAAAATAAAGCCTCCCTAGGTTGTTACTCACAGAATAAAATAAAGCCTCCCTAGGTTGTTACTTACAGAATAAAATAAAGCCTCCCTAGGTTGTTACTCACAGAATAAAATAAATCCTCCCTAGGTTGTTACTTACAGAATAAAATAAAGCCTCCCTAGGTTGTTACTCACAGAATAAAATAAAGCCTCCCTAGGTTGTTACTTACAGAATAAAATAAAGCCTCCTTAGGTTGTTACTTACAGAATAAAATAACGCCTCCTTAGGTTGTTACTTACAGAATAAAATAAAGCCTCCCTAGGTTGTTACTCACAGAATAAAATAAAGCCTCCCTAGGTTGTTACTTACAGAATAAAATAAAGCCTCCTTAGGTTGTTTGCCGAACCTTTTATAAAGCACTTCCTGAAATATACCCATTCTCGCAGACATGAACAATGCAAAACATAACATTAATATTCCTGTAAATAAATAAAACACACAACTTGAAATTCAGGCCACTGAAACATGTTGCCGAGATTACAAATAACTTAATATTTATACCTACAATGTAGCATTATATTAGCTAAATTACTGGGGCGACATACTTGATTGGATAGCATGCATCTTCTAGTGAATATATATGTATGAAGCAACAATATTGTACACAACAAACAATAATAATTCCTTACCGATTACCAACATAAAAAAATCATTCATCGACACCTCTGTTTCCACATCAATATCTGCTTTTCCCTACAAATGTGATAAGACAGAAGTACAGAATATCATAACACACCGCTGGCGCACAGCAAACTAATCCTTGTGGGTGAACAAATGAATTTAAGAATGCTGCTTTTACAGCAGTGAAGCAGATAGAATACGATGAGTTGGTTATATGTCTCGCATTTTAAAGCTTGGTTATTGTAGCAACACTCATGCTGATAAAATACATGTGATGATCAGAATCAAAGAAAAAAACCTTCAAATTTCAAATAGGTAGCCAGCCAATAAAATTTTCCTTATACAGTTATATTCCACAAGAAACCTACCACTTGTTTAGCTGATGCTATCGTGCAGGAACTGATACCAACAGTAATCATTATAACAGCAATGTATTTGGAATATTTATATCTGAAATACACATAAGATAAAACAATTATGAAATGTATAAACTAAAAGATGATTAAGATTAGTCATATTCTGATATTAATGTTGTTATCACTCTTGGGATGAAGATAAAAGATACGAGATGGAAATAAGTACAGAGATGTCAAAAACAATGATTAGTGGAATTCTTAGAACAAAAAAAAACAAAGTTGAATATTTCAGACATATTCCTTGAGCAAGATGAGAACTTTTTGGGTTCAATAATAGATAGTGACTTGAGTTGTAAAAAAGAAACTAAAGCTAGAGTCAGACTAGCTTGTAGTATAATGGCAAGGCTAGAATATGGAAAGTGAGAACCATTAGAGTGGGAGTAAAATTGAAACTAATATCATTGGTAAATTCTGTCTTACTGTATGGATGTGAAAGCTTGACTCTAGACATGGATTCTTCAAAGAAATTAAGAATAACATGGAAATAAACTATAACAAACAATATTTCATCTGAATGCAGATATAGATGTATACAATAGTGCATATGTCATACCAATGTGTGTCTAAACAAGTAATCACATCACATAGTCCGAGTTCTCAAGAAATATATCCAGTTTAAACATGACAGGTCAGTGAATGTCAGAAATATGGCTCCAAAACTGTTTCACTGAAACAATGTGGCCCACTAGTTGGCTATTTTAAATCTGATCTGACAAACAGATTGTTGTGTGTCAAGATCACATAATATTCACCAAAGTTTGAATGAAATACATTCATACATGCCCAAGATCTGATTCTGGATTGGCAGTACGATATAAGTGTAAAGTTTGAATGTAATCAGCATTGGGATGTTTGAGATAAAGATTGAGACACACGCATATATGCATGCTCACACACACACAGGTCAAAACTTTCAGGTTTTCAGACTTAAAATCAAGATGCAGGTTTTTTACACAATGTCACATAGAAAACACTCCAGAATGAAGTGTAAAACCACCTTTCTAATTCTTACACCTACAAAATTGTTAGATTCCTTAGACAAACATTGGAACAGGATATGAACTACTGCATTCAATTTTTAACTCAAAAACTCAAGTTGCAGTGTAAAAACATCTTGTAAAAATTCAATAATAAATTATAACAAATTCATCTGGAAATATTGTCACACCACTGATGAAAGACTATGCGAAGAGTTGAAAACAATAGTTACAGAAAGAAACTACATATTGTGAATATTTAGATTAAAAATACTATTTGTTGTTCTCCCAAAATGAAAAGGATGAAACAAGATGTTGCATTGCAATTGAACTATGACCTTAATATGTATTAGTGGCTTGTGTGCAAGTTGCAGTTAGTCGGTGAGGCAGCATGTTTGAAAGTGTATAAAACTTAGTAGGTTACAGAGACTACTTCAAACATTGTTAGTCAATGTGAAAAAATATAAATAAAATTCTCACTTTCGTTTAAGTATAATAATTCCTAACACCATATTAGCAATCAGACTTCCCTGTAAATAAATAAAATTGCAAGATTTTGTTTTTAAATCCTAAAACTGTATATCTCATCAAAGAATCAGGTACGAAATATGAAATCTTATGTTTCAGATAATTCATATTTTAAAATTTACTGACACAGAAAAGAAAAAAAAAACACAAAAAAACGAATTCTGTCTAAATTCATATACGATAGAATACAGCATCATTTACTTACTGCACGGAATATCATATGTAAAGGAAGAGGTATGTTGAAGTTCAGTGCATAATTGTTCACAACACTGACTAGAAAGAAAAGGGTCACCATCATACCATAATGCCTAGAATTAACAAGACGATATATGTACATTTATAGCTGAAAGCACAGGTGTGATTTGGGAGAGTAGAACGAATAAAGGAAATCTTCTTGAAAGAATGTTTAACCCATTGCTACCAGCATGTTCAGGATGTACGAGTAGTGTTTGTTTCGAAGGCATCACTAATCAATTGCTACGTTCACATGGCAGCATTCTATCGCAGTCGAACTACTGCTCCTCCCACAGATTAACAGAAGATCATCTCAAATGCGTTTACCGGTCAATCTCCGTTAAGATGCTGTTGTGTGAGCGTGAAGATGTTTGAATCCGAGTAAAGAAGAAACTAAACAAGAAACTAAAATAGTGACAGATGTGTTTATTAATTTATTGCTGTGGTGCCTGGGGAAAAGGATTTCTTAGTTCAAGCAATAAACTTCTTTGAGATTCATAACAAATAAGCAAAGGGTCACAGAAAAGTAAAACAGATGGGGTTAAACAATTTTGTTTTCATGTGTTCATGTCTTCATTTGATTTTTTTTTCATTGATATCACTGTACTCCCAGAATGATAAAATGTGTTGTGTGTCATCTGCATGCCATATTTTGCATAGAGATATCAATTTTGTCTCAAGCACCTTACAGCAATTCCTAGATGATCTAGATGATCTAGATGATCCACATGGCACATTTTATAGATAAATATAAGTTCACTTACTTGATCGGTATTACTGGTTTTGTTTTCCCAAACTTATAATAGTCAATAAAACCTTCTATAGCAATGAAGAGAAACTGAAAAAAGGTGATGATATTACCACTTCCTGGAAAATCTCTGTAAAATTAACATTAACATCAATTAAAAAATTATTATCTGTCTTTTTTGTGCAACAGTTTTTGTGCAGTGTTGAATTTTGTGTAAACGATGCATATTACACACTATTACATGGGACTCGTGTTTACGTGGAACAACGTGAATATATGCTTAAATTCTGGGTGTGACTATGTGCGATACCCCAGCTTCTTGCAAAGCAGAGAAAGAGACATAGAAAGCTTGGGTAACATGCTGAGGAAAACATTCAAATTTTAGTAAAATAACACAAATATTAGTTTACATTGTATTAAATGTCAGTGATGTGAAAATATCATCACTAACATTTTATCATCTAGTTGTTTGTTTTATGACACCCAGATGTCCCATGGTCATGAATTTAGAATCTGTGAGTTAGTTGCAACATGGAACTACAAACCACTTCTATGGTTGACTTTGACACTACTACACAGTCCACTATCAGATGGAGGAACTGTGGGCAGGATTCCAGAAGACGTATCTACACTTTATGCAATTTTTTTTTAAATTATGCTAATTTATTCATGACGTAGCAGTTTCTGTGCTCATGAATATTCATCAATTTGTGGGTCAATACATTTTGAAAGGGGCGATATATTATTTTTGGGGGAAGAGTTAGAAAGGGGGATCAGTAATCCTTAGGGGGTCAATACAAAAGAAGGGACCCATTTGGAGAGCAGCCATGCTCCTCGTGTCTGTTGTTGCACGTGACCTACAGCTGTCAACTGTGTTCGTTCTTCGTCGACTTCGACTTCGACTGGCTTCCATGTGAGGTAGTATTCTTGTGTTCTGTTTTTCTGACTTGAGTTTTTGAATCCGCTGTTTATGTTTTTAACGTCTTTCATGTCTTTTGTAGGAGTGTCCAATCCGTGATTCGAACTTGCGATCTTTGAGTTCCCAGCGCACTGTCTTGTCCACTGTACCACGAGTGTCTTCACACAAGAGATAGGATTTAAGTCCTATTCATAGGAGCACTGTCTTCACTAGCATTCAAAAATCTAACTAAACATACTGGATTCGAACCAGCGATCGCTCACATTGCTGACATAGTACAAATCAACTGAGCTATGTGGGTAGTCATGAAAATTGAATAATTTGTTGTCATATTTAGCTTTATTGCCAAATAGTGTTTTCGAGAAAAAGATGGGTAGGCAAGGGAATTGAACCCGGGTCCTCCTGATCACTACGTAGAGAACTGACCCACAAGACCACGATGGATTGACTGGTTGTGTTTGCATTTGATAAGAGTATATAGTGTGTATATATATAGAAATACAACATATTACAATTACAATTGTGCAAAAAATTTGCAATTTTGTGTTTTTACTTGTGTAAACTATATACATGACATAACCCGTTAGTGTACATTTTGCCAATTGGGTGTTTGCCATTTGCGTTGCCCATACCTGACCCGACCCTAACCCTAATGCCAAGACACGTTCCTGTTAATAATTGCTCAATAATGATACTCTGTTGTGCACTGTCTGTGAGTAAGTTGCATTGATGTCAACTGATTAAACAAGTTGCGTTTAAGCAATTTCCACTTTTAACAAGTGATTAAATTGTGAGACTAAATAAGTGGACATATATTTGAGACTGATTTTGGTGTAGACACAGTGTTTAATTAATTGTCATCATTGCAGGTTGTGAGAATAAACCTATTGTGGGTTGTTTGAGATGGAATTTAACTCTGGGCAAATGTTTAATATGGCCACTTACACTTATTCTATAGTTGTGTATAAATTTGGTGTTAATTTCATGTTACTTGTGTGAGATTTTATGTAATGCAGTGTTCAGTGAGTGAGTGAGTGTGTGTGTGTGTGTGTGTGTGCTCGCGCGCGCGTTTGGATTTAATGTAATGGCAATGTGGATGCAAAGCACATTAATGAACTTGTGTTATTTATACTCTATTTTTGGATTTGATTTGGTGCGGCCACCCTCTGGGTGAAACCGTGTGTGTTTGCGTGTGCGTTCTTGTTTAGGGGGGGGGGTAAGGCTTTATTGTTTGGGAGACGGGCTTGGGACCTAAAACGGCCCCATATATATATATATGCCCTAGAGGTAGTCGGGACATGTTTTTTGACATGACTCCACATGCCCTCGGCGGTGTTGGTACAGGCGCCGCTGTCAGGATCTACATAATGCATTGAATGGTTAACAGTTAAATGATAATACGGAGAATCAGGAGAACTCAAAGCAGAATAAGCCTTCCATTGGTCGGACATGATTGTAGTACCCGGTAAAATAAATTTGTTAATAAGAGGAATGAGAGTATCAGCGTCCCGTTGTTTGACGGGAACTAAAATACAACGACCCGTCCCCCGTTCAATGGCGCCAAAAACCCACTGCCCTTCTCGCCATCTGCCCCGGTTGTATTTGTTTTTGCCGAATTTGGATTCGTCGATTTCGACAATACAATCGGGGCCTCCTAATTGCACCGGGTTCTCCACAAAATACTGGTGATTGTATGTTTCATCGGCCAGAATCGCGAAACAAACCTCTCTGCAGAAATTATAATAGTCAATAGCAGTAGTAACAGAAACACGCAAGCGAGTTTTAGTGTCAGTAACCGGAAACTTAATACACCAAAAATACAGTAACTGTAGAGTGGTAGCAACAGAAAGATGGCTGTTTGAAAACCACGTTCCGTTGCGAGCAGAAACACGCTTTCCGCAAGCGCGATGGTTACACCGCCATTCCAGTGGTTCAAGAGCTGGTGTGCGCCTGCAGAGAGTCATGTTTCTGCCACATGCATCACAGGAACGTGATTTCGCAATCAGTCCGTTCTGCTGACACCATTCCACAGTTCTCTGCGGGTTAGAAGTTAGTGAAAACAGAGCAGGCAGAGTAGGCTGTTTTCCGTCGATCTGGCCAATCTTGTTGATGGACGCTTGAACCATTTTTTGAGTGAGACTGGTCCTTGCTGCGAAGTAGTAGTAGTAGTATAGGAACATGAAATAAGTTTCTATTTCTGATGCAAAGAAAGTTACTTGTTTGTCGATGCTTTATATATCTGTGCATCTGTGACGTGTGCCCCTGCAATTCGTTACATCTGTTTGGCAAGTGTTTCTATTATTTGTGGCTTGATCTGTTTGCGGGGCTGGACCAATGAACATCAGTTATCCCACCCCACTTCTAAGTACATTGTTTGTGGTGTCCGAATGTCTGTTTGCTATTTGACTGCTAATTAGTAATAATAGTTTGAACTCGATACGTGCCGGACTAACCGCAGCAGACGCATATCTATCTATTTATTTATTGCTGACCAGGTTTGTTGTTCTTGTGTTGTTAGTTCTGATGGTTAAAAGGTCACTGGAGGCAACATTACCAACAGTGATTTCTAAGGCGTAAGAAATGCTTGCACTAAACACTGCAAGCGATTGTTGTATTTATTTTCTTTGAAAAAGTACTATTCTCCTGAAACAACGATTTCGTTCTACGTGTGTAAACTCACTGTATTACATCCACATAAATGACACTTTGACAGTAAATAGTCAATATTGCAAAATCAATGTTGTCAGTTTTATACAACTGGTTGTGTTGGTACTACTAATTACTCCTGTATTGCCATCACTGTGTTTCCAAAACAATGCAATAAAATACTTTCTCACGAACTTAGTGCTTACTGAAGTCTAAGTAGTAAATCGTTTATGTATATTTGTAAAATTTGCCAATGTGTTAGAAAATACTATTACTTGTCTTTGCCAAAACTTACCTTGTGTCGATCTTCTATTTTCTTGCTTTAACTTTGTCGTAACTTGAACTGTCAAAGACTGCGATGATGGTTATTAATTTGTATTGATTTTAATGTGTTCGATTTCATTCTTTTTTATTTGACGGGACTCGAACCCACCACGTTTTTCGCTTTTTATTTCGTTTTAATAGCACGCTTGTGTACTATGCCACGACGTTGGTCGCTAGAGGCAGGAGTTTCGAAGTGTTACTTAAACCTTATCAATTGACTTGTTCCAAATAGCAAATCTCTGAGGCGGCAGTTAAAACGTTTTGTTTTTGTTGTTATTTATCTCGTGTATTTTATCTTGTTTGCGCTGTGTTATTTATCTCGTGTATTTGACATTGTTGACGGTTTTGTTTTATTTTTTCCTAGTTTGATTTTTATCGTGGTTGTTTTCGCGTTGGGGTTCGAACGATCTAACATTTTACTATTTTGTTTAAGTATGATGCAGCATGCTTGTATACCACGCCACGACGTTGGTCGTTGAGTGGTGTTCATTTTGCTAACTACTTCAATGTTCTGATGAGTTGAACGGAAAAGCCAAAATGATTGCTGGTTTTCGATTGCTTCGGTTCTGATAAGTGTGTATCTAGTGTGATTCAAACCCATGTCGTTTGTATTGGGCGGTTTTTCATTTCCCATGTTGGCTACGCCATAATATGCAACCACTTCCCCGTTTTATTATGATTTTGTGAGTGTACAATGATGCCTCGCCCGTCACGCCATGACCCAGTTTCAACCACACGGCCATTTTGGAACACAGTTCGTGACCCTCGGCGTGACCCGACTGGCTATATGATCGTTCTGTTCAACTGTTAAGCCAGGATTTATTACCGTTATTATCATTATATTGTCACGTGATTTGTTTTACCTTATGTATAATGTCTTAAGTATCTTTATTGTAATTTGTATATACCAATTCGTATATACCGAGGAAACGACCCCGATTGAAGGTCATGTATTTTGTGACGTCACCAATTCGTGTGTAGGTACGTCTTCTGGAGTCTTGACGAACTGTGTTTGAACTTAAGTTAATTGAAAAACATGGAAATGTAGGTGATCCCTAAAAAAACGAAAAGCCACTGCCAACTATCTACCGGTATATTTGTTGTTTAATACTGCTAAAAAGACATATCGTGGGTGGGTATCGAATTTAAAGTAGGCGGTCGGTTCGACCGGCTACCATTGCTCTTATCAATGTACACGTCGTCAGAGATTAATCACGTTATATATGGAATTTTGCAAGTGTATTACATCTATCTTACCTTATAATGAGTTCCAAGAACACAACATTAACAGCACAACCAACAAATACAAGGCATACAGCGAAGATAGCATAAGGTTGCAACATTTTGCCGGCTGTCACTACGGCAAGCAATAAACTGGAGATTTAAATATCGCAAGATCTTGTCAGTTATTTCGATCCACAGAGGTTCTCATTTATACTATCACCTATAAAAATAACGGCACACTTTATAAATTCACGTGGTGAATAAAGTCTTTTTGACCTAGCTTTTCTTGCTAAGTAAGTTACCAACTAGAAACAACGCGAAAGTGTGGTTAGAGCGCCCCCATGCAACGAAGCTAAATAATGGGGCCCTTTAAGCGCCACTTGGTACAGTAAAACAACGATCACGTATTGCTGTTTTGTTCAGCTGGCGAAAAATAATAAACAAAAAAATCATATAAATATCAAGTAATCTTCGTATGCGTTAAGGGGGGGGGGGCATATCGATGCGTTCATTTTGTTGCTCTCGTCCCATTGATTTTTTACCATTGGTCTAGGTAGCTCTGGCCACCCCGGATGACCCCATAACATTGAATTGTGGGAATTACTTCAACCCAAGATGGACGAATATGCATAGGCTGGATAGTATAATCAGAAAAAAACTGACTACATAGCTATACTTAGCATTTTTTGCGCTCGTAGTTCATTCCGTGTTTTCTCCATGGTTGGCAGTATAGTATCAGACATTCAAAGGTAGTTAGCGGCCCCGATTCAGGGAAGACTCATGAATCGAATGCCGGTAGACGATCTGGCTCGGTATACCGCGGATCACTGCTCGCTGAATTGATTACCAACGCAGGACGCAGATACATTGCTTGAAGTAAAAATCCGCTACTTTCCGTCGTGTAAGTATGATGTTGTAATTTTCATTTCTTCTTTTGTAAAACTCTATGATGTTTAGATGAGTCACGGAGATGTCATTTGTCGCCACTTCCCCGAAACAAATGACAGGTCGTCCAAATCGTTCTCTAATTTGTGTGGCGTAGAAAGCTGTACTGGCTATGACGAGAGAAACAAACGCCGCACCCGTCGCGTTAAGAGAGTACGTTTCTTTCCTGATCAGACACGAATATCGCGTTATGGGGCACAAAAAATAGTGAATACTGTGGCGGTTGTTGTGTTTTAACAGCACACTAAATCAGTGGGAAACGTAATGTTATAGATGGAATTTTGAAATGGATATTGCTATTTTAAGTGGACCTACACTAAACATTTAGGCGGAAATATCTTGAGATACACTGTAAATCCCCCGATTTGAGCCAGAATCCGAACATGTGGGCTGTAGAAGATTTGTTTATGTTTGTCGTTGAAAGCCAAGCTATGTTTTAAAAAAAAAAGACTGAAAACAATGACAGGAAATCCATGTCATAGAAAGATTAAATTTAAACAGCACAAATATTTATGAGGGTTATGTTTATGTCTTGGTTCAAAACATTTTTTCTTTTGTTATTCATTTTTATTAATTGTAAATATGTTTTTGTGATCGGCAACTTTTTTTTTTTTATTTGAAAATGATACCTGCAGGCTGCTATAATCTATATATCTGAGTTTGTATTCTATACCCGTGCTCATACAACATGGATAATTAACTTCTGTTCTGTTATGAAGGTTGTTCTGTTATGAGTTGTGATTTACCTTCTTTATTTTCTCCTTATGATTTCCTTGTCTGTTTTGTTGTTGTGTTGGTATGGTTAGTTGTAATGTAAAGTTGAAACAGAGATTTGTTCAAATAATGAGATATGGTTCAGTTGTTATCACAATATAGAGGTACAAATTTTCACCATTAGAAATTATCATGTCGTTTTAAGAATTGGCCATACTGATGAAAAATTGATTTCTAAATGATATTTTTCATCCAGTGTTGCAAGTTGCAGGTGCGAATGGGAATCGCAACAATTTGTTATCGCTGGTCGATGGCGTCAGGAGATTGTATGGATTGAACACCACTTCATTTTCTCAGTATTGATTTAGGAAATGCTTTTATGCTACATTTATCGATTGTCTTGGAATCTGCTCTGACATTTTCGATGTGAAAGCCAATACTTTTTCCTCGCATTGAAAACATACACTGTGGATTCGTTCCAGATAACTGTCTGGAATGGATCTCTTACGACTAGACATCGCATAAACACAGTGCCTGCTCTCCCCAAGCCAATTTACCCTGATTGGCGTGCATGCTTGGATGTTGGTCATTAGTAAGGTCAAAAAGCCATGCTAATTTTATAGGTAATGATAGGCCAGAAGAGCGTGGCTTCTGGAATGTAAAGTCTGTTTCTAAACTTAGCGTTCACAGGATAGTATCCATGTATGGAGTGTTTTTAAATATGGTGATTGCATAATGTCCCATGTTGCTGGATAGAGCCGGCCGGCAAATTACATATCCGGCCTTCCATATTCTCAAAGCTAATAATATTTCCCCCGAATATTTCCAGAACTTTAAAATATTGTACCGTAATTTAGAGTAAGTTTCTGCAGTTCTATTTACACATATATTTAATTTGTCTCCTGAATCATTTATAATTTTATTAATGTCTTATGATAAGAACAGATGATGTGAAGAGTGACAATGTAAATAAGGTTTTGATAATTGGCTTCTAATCTAATAGAACAAAGGGATTCTTCTTAGCATGATTTCCTTGTTCAACATGGCAGCCAAGGTGTTAATTTCCATAGTCATGATATTTACACAAGAAAACGATTCGTGGACTGTTATTGATAAGATTGACTCTTGTTGCAGACATGTGGTTTTCTGTGCTCAGACAGACCTGTCATGAATGATGATAACGTGATTCATTCAGTGAAATGAATGGTGTCATCTGATGGTAATAAGATCAGTGACTGATTACCTCATGGACAAAGTTGTCCTTTGTTTTCATACTGTGATTTTTTTGCCACGCACATGTTCTCCCCCCCTTTCTATACTCAAATGATTTTAATTGATGATTAAATTTTGCCTTTGTTAAGATCAATACAATTTTGTTTTGAGAAAGAAAAACACACATTTGATATGAATATTAAATGATGATGATTGGGTGAGAATTATCATTCAAACATGCTGTGCTATTTTCAGCTAATGAGATCCAGGTCCCCCTATTTTGTATGCCGGGGATTATTTCAACTATTAGCCAACAATTGTGCTTTCGGAACATTCTACATTAAATGTAAATTTGAATTTATTCGTGGCCAGTGTTGGTGGTTACACTTGGTTACACATGTTATTGACAATTGATAAATTAACAAAACAAAAGAATCATTTAACGACTGTTTCCTATTAGTCATGTCCATGTGGTTTTAAGATTTGTCTCTAACAGTCAACACTGATGTATGTTTCTGATTAACTGTGTTCGGGATGTAGTTATTTTGAACTGTCTATCAAACCATTTATTAGACTCTGAAATGGGTTGTACTTTAAATTCTTGCAATACAATCAGTTCTGCCAAAAAATAAACAACACATTGAAGTGCATGTTTAGTGTGGAATGGGTGTGCTCAGGGAGACCCTGACATAATGGCCAATAAAATTCATTGTTTTTAATAGTTAGCAAACCGCAGATTTTTCCATTGTCGGTTGTTGTGATGCGTGTCACTTGAGTTGCACTGGATTTGTCAAGTTGAATAGGCAGCATGTAACATCAGGTACAAAATTTATCTTCTTAATGCTTGGAGGTTGGGTGTTGGGGACAAGCTTTCAGAATATATATATACATTGTCATAGATAACAATGTAATAAAAAACAATTATGGAGATCTCTTTGTGGCTGCATTGTGGTGACATGCATGTAGGATATTCACTCGTTTTCTGTTTAGCGACTAGTGAAATAAACAAAAACATTATGATTAAATCCTGTGTTATGTCATCATTAATCAAATGTTTGTTTTCATTTAAAAAAATTATTAAACTGATAAAATCGTAATTTTAAATCCATTTCTTCTGCATTTCTTTTTTCATTAACTTTGATTAATAAATGATGCTATTTTATCTATTTACTACCTGCCTTGTTCTCTTGGCGTTGTATTACATCACATGTGCTATGAAACTTGATGCAATATGTTTGTGTATCTACAGGTAGGGATCCTATAGTATATATGAGAGGTACATAAACTAAGAATAAAGCATTTCTGTTACATTTTCTTTTTTCATGGTTTGGAAAGACAACTTTAGAAGTGATGGTATACACTTTATATATCAAACCCAGTGCAATTATCTGTACCATTACCTTTTAAATTTATTGCATAAAAATTAACATACAAGTATCTTGAAATATATTTCTTCTCTGCATATCAATAAATCTCATCTGTGCTTACGAGATAGACGTGTGCTTAGAAATG